TCGTACAGGTTACACAATTGTGGTATAGAAAGTAATGTCAGCTGAGGACAGGAATCTTGTATTATATTCCTCTTCAAACTTCAGGTTTTTTTTGTCTCCTCGACATGCACATTTGCAATAATTTAACAAATAGCAATACTTAATGGAATTTCCAGTAATGTTAGAGGAAGAATAAAGGCATTTTTCCGTGCATTTAAAATTTTTGTGCAGCAAAATTAAATTTTGTATTTCTGCTAAAAAATATTTTAATAATGGTGGGAGGTGACTCACTTTCCAAATAAGAGCTTGTTTCTTCACTTATCACAACCCAGTCGCCTTGCTTTATGCCATACATCATTTCATACGTCCCACACCTTTTATAAAATAAACCTACTGTCTTAGACATTCTTCAAATGGCTGATCACTGCAGATCTCACCAATCTTTAGTTAGGATGCATCGATGTATCACCATTGTGCTTGTGCCTTCTGCTTAGACCCCAAAATTTTGAGGACCCATTCAGTGTCAGAAAAAATAACGCAAAGGCAAGAGGTTTTTGTAGTGCGACATCATCTATGCTTCAAGTTCGATCTAAAAGGTTTGAAAGTCGCTTGATGAAGAATTAGTTACATGATTTAATGGCATTTAGTTTCTGGGGGCTTCTGTATTTTCATAACCACGGGTCACTTTGAATACACGCATCAGATCAACCCTCCCCCAAACAACTATTACTCGTGGTCGAGGTGAAGAATTTCCAAACGCGTTTTCACCGAAAGGTCTCGGCTAGTTATTACTTAATCTCTCGATATGTCCTATTGGAAATTACTTTTTTTGCTTCAGAGTTTAGTTCTTTTGTTACTTTTTTTTTTCGACTATTGGCAATCAGAGAAGGGATCCAGTATAATTAATTAGGCAATGCGAGGAATTCACCATGTCACTGCCAGCCCTTTTATTTGAAAATTTAGTATCAAACCAATTTATATCAGAAATCACTGGTTGTACACCAATCAGGTATGTGACATATAAATTGAAAATCAGGGCGAAAAATTCTGGTAAAGTACGCACGTATATAAAAATACTGTATAACATTGATACCTGTGCAAACTCTGATCGATGTCAATTCAATAATATTGACTGGAAGTTAAAAAAATTATTTTGAATAATCATAAAGCAGTGATAAAAATTTAATATAAAGGTAAAAAAGGGTTAAGTGGAACTTGCACATTCATAACCGGGGTATTGTTCTGAATACAGAAAAGGAGCTGTCCTTCTGTTTCCAAGGAAAAAACAAAAAAAATGACGTTGGAACCGAAAAAACGAATAAACTACTTTTATGATTGTAAGTTTGAATATTCAAAAGTTTTACTGTTCGTCAGAACATGACTTATAAAGGGTGGTGTGGTCCCTGATACTGATACTAGGGAGTTGGTTCCACTTAGACCAGTATCAGCTGTATCAACGGAAGGGGGTCATCGTTAAAAAAGATGGAGGGAAAGGTTTTAATCAAAGATGTTAATTTAAAATTTCTTTAACATTTCATTAGATGTCGTAGGTAGTTTTAATCACGGAACCGGGCATCCCATGAAGCCCTTAAGGGTAAGGATGACTCATAATCTAGTAACGAAATATGGATTATGCAAGAAGATGGAAATTTTTGTATCCTTAATTAAAATTTGATGATTCTATTTTTTGATATTGCGGGCTTAATATGTTTTTTTTTCGATCGAATGCTTGTTTTTCTGCGAAATCCTTGACCCACCATCTATGAATAGAGACCGAAACCAAGTACGATCGAAGAATTGACCCAATTTCACACCGACGATTATATTAATTTCTTAGGCAGAGTGACTGCCGACAATATGGATACGTGTATAAAAGATTGCATAAGATGTAAATTGGTTTTATTTTTTTGTATATCAAGCCTAACTTCTTATTGAGTTTACTCATCTTTTCTCTCGCCATACACAAAGTTAACGTTGGAGATGATTGTCCAGCATTCGATGGACTACTGGAGTATTGTCAAAGAGCGACGGGCGGTTCTCTTGGTCAGTGGAATATTCTGATTACATCAACATGAAAATTCAAATTATTCATTTTTCATGTTGATTTTATCTTAACTCTAAATAAATGTTCATCTACTAATAGAGGGTGCGGCAAGGTTAAATCATGGGTTATGTGATATAGCCGTCAATTGGGCAGGAGGTTTGCATCACGCCAAAAAGCAAGAGGCTAGTGGGTTTTGTTACGTCAATGATATCGTCGTCGCAATATTGGAATTATTAAGGTAATTCCTTAGGCATCCTCTCCTTTTTTTCTTCTTCTTTCAATATGATATATTTTTATTTGTACACTTTATTATAGAATCACCGAAGTTTACGCAAGCTTTTAATTGATGAATAGATTCCATTCGCGTGTTCTCTACATCGACATCGATATTCACCACGGAGATGGGGTCGAAGAAGCTTTCTATACCACTGACCGCGTGATGACTTTGAGCTTTCACAATTTCGGTGAATATTTTCCGGGGACGGGAGATATTAATGTACGTTTGCACAATAACACATTAGGATGACCCGATGAACGGATAAGAAATAATGGCGGTGGGTTTCTTTGGAGTTATCGAACTTGGTAACAGGGTCGCACTCATACATACTCACTCTACACCTCAACATAGGACGTCGGTTACGGAAAAGGTAAATACTACGCCGTAAATTTTCCCTTAAGAAAAGGTATAGACGACGAGACGTACAAAAGTGTATTCGAACCGGTATGTACTATCAATCATATTTTGTTCAACGGATTAATTGAATGTCTGATCCTTTCACTAACCGAGTAAATAAAATTCCAGGTGGTGACTCGTGTGGTTGAATGGTATCAACCTTCTGTAATCGTTCTCCAGTGTGGTGCTGATTCACTAAGCGGAGATCGTCTAGGGTGTTTTAATTTATCATCTAGGGGTAGGCATTGAACTTCGTTTATAGTATATAAAGCATTAATGCGATCTCAAATATTTATTTAAGAATTGTTGTTTTTAGGTCATGCACATTGCATACGATTTGTCAAAAAATTTAATATTCCAATGTTGGTTTTGGGAGGTGGAGGGTATACCGTAAGTAATGTTTCCAGGGCTTGGGCATATGAAACGGGTGTTATAGTTGGACAAGAGGTTGGTCCAGGTAAAAACATCGTTACCATCAAAATCATCATTTTATCCCTCCGTTTTCTTTTTAAATTGCGATCGTGTAATCTTCTTATTGTCGCTCATTTATAGAATTGCCGCATTGTACTGAATTGGATGGTCGAGATTACTTTGGAACTAGTAATTTGCTAGATGTCCTACCAAGTAATATGGAAAATAAAAACACTAAGGAATATCTGGAAAAGACCATGTGTGTATTCTCTCATAGATTTATATTTGCCAACGCGTCCTCCAAATTCACCTTTTTTAAAAATATTTTCAGGTTAAAGATATTTCAAAATTTAGAGAGATCAAGGCACACTCCCAGCGTTCAGATGCAAGGTTGATATCTTTCCCTATTCTTTTATTGCTACGATGCGATACTAATAAGTTAATCATTCTCATGACAGATATACCCAGAATGAGATATTCATTTGAGGATCAGGACCAGGACGAGGAAAATGATGACCCTGACGAACGGATTTCATGTATACTTGAGTGACCTTTTCTTGCTGTTTCAAATGAATCGAGTTTACGTTCATTTAGTAATACAACCCATTTATCTTCTTTTGTAGCACGGATAAGGGACAAAAATATTGTACCAGATAACGAATACGAGGACTCTGATGAAGATGAAGAATGTACATACAAAATACCAATACCGCCCGAGTGCGGTCCTTCCAGATATGTGCGCTCATATCGTTATAAACTGAATGAGGGTAGAAAAAAAACACCAGTTTTGAACAACTCTGAATCGAATGGTAAATACCATGGTACATCTTTTTCCGAACGCATCGATGAAAATGGACTTTTTTCGACGGAATCATCATCGTTGGATGATGCGATTATGTCCGATGCTCAAACATCTTCTTCTGATAGTTTGTTAGCATCCTATTCGGTTCACGATAATGAATATATCCAATACAAAAATGAAAACTTAGATGGTCATTATGTGCAATCAGATCCCAATGGCTGGTCAACCACATAGTCCTTTTTTTTTTTTTTTCGAAATTATGCGATATAATAATAATAAAAATACAATGATAAAAATTTTTCTGTATACGTTGACCAAGTTCAGAGGGCATCGGAGAACCACAAACAACAGTTTTATTGCATCCAATTTACGATTTTTACCGACTTTTAATTTTAATTTTTTTAAATTTACGTGTTATGAATAAATTTTAATGTTTTCATCTAAAGTGAGGCCCATGCAAGTATTTTTACTCATGAAATGCTTAGAATGAAATGAATGAGAATTTGTATTTCTCTGTAAAAAAATATTTGATTGGATTTTTTATTTTGATAAAAATATTGAATCAAAAGTCAAGTATTAAAAATAATATGATATAGTTAAATAAAACTATATTTGTATCTTATTAAAAAATTTTTACAAATAATTATAAAGATATTTGCATTTAAATCTATTTACAAAATTATATTGAATTTTAAATCATAAATTTTAAAATTTTTTTCAATTAGCCAGGCCTTGCTTAACATACTTTATTTAGTTTACATTTGTATTTCTTGTACAAAAATTATTATTTATAAACTATTTTAGATACATGTATATTGAATTTTAAATTAATACCTTTTCAAAAAATATTTATATACAAAACAATTCTTAATTATTTTTTTACTTTTATTATAAGAATCTTAAGAAAATTAAAAAAATATATTGATATTTTAAAATAAAATTTGTATTAAGAAAAACAAAATCAAACTTTTGTTTCTTTTTTAAATAATATAAAAAAGTTTTGTAACAATTATTTTTTTATAAATTTTTTTTAGAATTCTTTTATTTTTACTTTTCTTACAATACTTCAATTTATAAAAAATTTGTTTTTTTAATAATAATATAAATAATAAATAATAAATAGTTAGCAAAAGCTTTTTTCTTTAAAAAAAAAATTATTTTAATTTATCACAAAATACAAGAAATCTAATTAATTTCTTATAGAAAGACAAATAGTTTGAGAAAAACAAAAGCTTATTTAGATAACTTTTTATTTTATTAAATAAAATATATATAGGCAATTTTTAAATTAAAAAAAATCTTTTTATCTATCTTTATATATTATTATTTAATATATTATTTAAATATTACATATAATAAAAAAAAACTCTTTCTTGATTGTATCAAAACTACCAAATTAGGAAATACCCAAGAAAACAAAATTTCGTCTCAAGAAAAAAACAAGAAAGAGGGAGGCCTTCCTTCCAAACCTCCCAACCCAAACCATGAATATACTCTTCTCAATATAGTCCTTGCTGATAACAAACAAAGGCTTCCTAAAGTCTCAATAATTTATAAAAATAACAAAACTTCATAAATTTTCATTACAAAACCTGCCAAAGAATTTCAAATTCTCCTCCTTGACAAATACCCTAAGTCCTGGCTTATCTCCACAGTCATAAAACAAACCAGAACCCTCGAAGAACACATCGAAGTTATAGAAATCAAATTTGAGGAGAAAAAGTCAACAACCCATCTCTTTAGCCTATAACTTAAATTTTCAACCTCAGTCTTAAACCCTAAGTCCTTGCAAACACTCAATAATTTTACAGAACACCAGATGAAC